CATGAGCAGCCGCCCAGCAGCGCCCCATTCCAGCCAGGCAAAGCGCCACTCACCAACCCAATAAAATCCCAAAGGCGCTAAGCCACGTGGCGCTCTGCCCAGCTGGAAAGAGAGGTTGCGCGAGCACTTGTTCTGCCTCCAGCTCGCATGCCTCCCTGCCTCACCATGCCCAACTCTCCCTGCAGGGCTGGGCCAGGGCGCCACCGTCGCTGCCGCCACTGCCATACTCCAAGCATAACCGGCTTCCAAACTCCGGAGATCCACTGCCGAGTCTTCCGCCAGCGGCCGCTCTGGGACTAGGTTCTATAGTTGTGGGCTGGCTGTTGGAGAGAGTCTTCCTGCAGCCAGCCCACAACTATAGAACCTAATCCCAGAGCGGCCGCTGGCGGAAGACTCGGCAGTGGATCTCCGGGGGTTGGAAGCCGGTTATGCTTGGAGTATGGCAGTGGCGGCAGCGACGGTGGCGCCCTGGCCCAGCCCTGCAGGGAGAGTTGGGCATGGTGAGGCAGGGAGGCATGCGAGCTGGAGGCAGAACAAGTGCTCGCGCAACCTCTTTTTCCAGCCGGGCAGAGCGCCACGTGGCTTAGCGCCTTTGGGATCTTATTGGGTTGGTGAGTGGCGCTTTGCCTGGCTGGAATGGGGCGCTGCTGGGCGGCTGCTCATGAGCGTGGTCACCTCATGGCAGCTTTGTTGCGCTGCTGCCGTTTGCCTCTGAGGCTGTGCCCGGCTCTTCGGGCATCTGCTTGCAAGAGAGCAGCCATCCGGCAACCCCAAACCAATAAGCCCGCCCCGATAATAAGGCCCAAGCAAAAAAAAATTGGGGGGTCAAAAGAAAATAAGGGCTAGAGGAGGAAAATTGAGCAACAAATGGTCCATTTTTTTGCTCATTTCTGCCCTCCCCAGCCCCCAGGAGCTCTCTGAAAGCCTCCTACAAGTTATGCACGGTCATTTTGATGAAGGAGGTGGGGTTACAGGAGGCACAAAATGTTCTATTCAGTGTATAAGATGCACCCAGATTTTCAGCCTCTTTTTTGAGGGAAAAAGGTGCGTCTTATACTCCAAAAAATACGGTACATTTTATATACATAAAAACGCAGCTTGCTGTTCTAACTCCCCTCTGTTCATCACTTACTCAGAAATATCAGGCATATAAAGAGCAGAGTCCCTGGATTCTCTCTGAATTGGGCTAGGGAAGCAAAAAATAAGGAATGCGAACTAACATGGATATTGTCCTGTGAAAGTGGATCATGAACCAGGCTGTTTCTTCAGATGCAGGAGGAGAATTTGGCTGAGCTCCGGGGCAGAGGAGATGGATCCAGCTCTACGCAGGACCTGTTTTTCAGGAGGATCCAATTTGGGCCACTTTGCCAGGTAAGTGCAAGTTTCTTCTGAGAGCAATAGAGTTTCAGCTCCATCCATTCATGAGCTGCTTTTAACACCAAATGCTGAGTCTGTCTGCATTTGAACAGAATATTCTGCTGAGCCACACATTTGACTTTCAAGTTTGTTCTGGAAATGCAAACAAGAGACAATTCACAGGCAGGGAATCTTGTATTAGAAATGTAATTTATTTGTAGAAAGAGTTTAATATTTCTTAATACTATTCAGTATTGTCTAAAAGGAGTTAGAAAAGAAACCCATGAATTAAAACGATAACAGTGGGATTTAATGTACTTGAGAAGTATTGTTTGTTTTATTAAATTTTTATGCCACCCATCTCCTTTGTAAGGTGACTGTAAGTACACCAGCAAAAATAAAGCACATGAAGGATAAACCAGTAAGTCAACACTAAATGGTTGTAACAATAAGGCTTTTGGTCAAGTGACCTGCGATTTCAAGGACATTACCCATATTTTGAAATAGGTTAGGAAAGAAATTGCTAGTGACTATGTCCTGTTTTCTCAGGAATTTGGTCAGCGGGGCAGGTGAGTCTAGGGCAGGGGTGTCAAACTCACATAGGAAAGAAAATGGTAAGTGAGCACCTGTCTACTCTAGATGAATTCAAATCACCAGGACCGGATGAATTACACCCCAGGGTTCTGAAGGCAGATGAGATCTCAGAACCACTGAACTATATCTTTCAGAGATCCTGGAGTACCGGGGAACCGCTAGAGGACTGGAAAAAAGCTTCAAAAAATCTTCAAAAAAGGGGAAAAAAACAGATCCAGGAAACTATAGACCTATCAGCCTGACCTCAATACCAGGAAAGATTCTGGAAAAGATAATCAAGCAACAAATTAGAGAACCCCTAGAAGCAAACAAAGTAATAGCCAAAAGCCAACATCAAAAACATGTCAAAAACAGATCATGCCAGACTAATCTTATTGCATTCTTTGATAATGTGACAAAATTAGTGGACCAGAGGAT